ACTGTGATTTAAATTATTGATAGTTGGGTTTTAGGTATATTTCAACACCAATTCCACCACCAGTGTCAGCTTCCCTCCACCCGAGTTCCCATACTCCAGTCTCCTCTCCCACCTGCTACCTTGACAGGCACATTAAAGTCCAGTGGTTGAAGTATAGATCTCATGGTTTGAGTGTTGTAATCAGTAAATTTTAACCTGTCTCAGTATCTCTTAACACCTACAAGTCTTTAGGTCTTCAGTATGCTCACCAGCAATGCCTCACAGAAAGTCAGGTAAGAAGGAAACAGCACTAGCAATAAGGCAGAAACACTGGGCTTATTTCTTGCTGAAAATGGAAATCTGAATAGAAAAGTAGCAAATGCCTCTCTTTAATGAAATGTCACATGGAACACGGTGTTCAATTTCTATTCATCTCCCTTAGGACAAAGGAATGAGAAATGATCTACACAGGGAGAGACTTCTAATAAATTAAAATAAGGGCTTCTTTAATAAGGTTGTTAAAATCTGGAATGAGTTTCTTGTGATTATGATAGACTCTTGTTGCTTCAAGTATTTTTATGTCATAATATTTTCTAGTTCAGATATTCTGGGCATAACTGTTCTTGAGAAGTACAAAGATCATCTCTGTCTCTTGTGCAAACCCTTTATTTGCTTGTTAACTTATTTAGTTTTAGTTGTGACATTCAGCTATGATTTTAAAGTTAAAAAAGGTCATAAGGCTAAAAATTAATTTTCCCTTTTTAGCGGTGAAACCTACGTGGAATCCCAACACAGAGAATAGAAATTGAATACATTACTGATCCAGGATCTTGCACTGGCATACTCATCGACAAGTTTCTGATCTGAACGTGATACCACAGAAAATATCCAGAAAGCTGTGCCCCTTCGATGCCCACTGAGGCTGTGGAAAGAATGTTCAAAGAACCAACTACTGTCTGAGCAGTGAGGTCATTGACAAAATATATATATTCACCACATTTTTCCTGCCAGTCCACAGATGTATTTTTAAAGCATATAAGATGCCTCAATGAAAAAGGGAGTTCATCCTTCTCTTCAAGCCACTTAAGGTTCCCCATGGCAGGTGCATCAGAGCTAAGACTCTTATCCAGGTCTCAGACTCGTGGTAAGGATGGATACGATTTCTTTATCACCTCTGTATTTAAGACTCATCTCTTCATTTTATAAGATACATTTCTAGGGCTCACTATCAAACCAAGAACAAATTTTGAATCTGAACTTAATTATAGTCATTTAACCTAAAAGGCGATTTTATTTTTTTTAAAACCTCCATCTCAATACCATTTTGGATCTCTTCACAGGCAAGATAATCAAACCCTTCAAGTCTGAGAACATTCACAGATGTAAATAAGTTTCTAGAACATAAAGATGAGAAAACATGTAAAACAAAAAGTCCCTATAAATGCTATGTTATGGTTGATGAATTTAAATGTGAGTTTATTGAGCATATAAATTATAGAGGAAATTTATAATTTATAAATAATACACATTTAAATTATAAGATATAAATATTGAATATAAATATGAAATTATTGTAAAATATTATATAAATATATCTTTATATTTTTGAAGATATATACTTCATCTGCAGAGAGGTATTCACAGGAAAATAATAGCTCTTGCCAACCCTTATTAAGGTTGGAATTGCTTTGGTAACTACAGAAGCCACAGCCCCACCCTAACTGATAGTCATAATTGTTGGCTCTCCAGGGTCCCTGACATCTGACTAGTAGTCAGGGTTAAGTAGATAAATTAAAGCACCCCTTAATAACTCCCAGAGGCCTAACAGGACAGATTGTAAATCACTGATTTAAGGCTTCAGAACAAGTTTACATGTTGTTTCGCATCTACTTCCCGCAAAAGGTGCAATGGATGGTATGCATTCCTTCCCTACCACCTCACTGTCGCACCCTCACAGAGAAGATTGGGAGACAAGGTTTAGTACCATGTTTCACTTTTAAATGTCTTATGGAGGTTAAAGGAAGAGAAGCAAATGGAAATATAAAATGAATATAAAATGACTCTGTGCTCAAGGATCAGTCCTAGGAGAAACACGTGCAGTGCCGGAATCAGCTATGTGCAAGACAAGTGCCTAACCTGCTGTACTATCTCTTCAGCCTCATAATCTTCATTTAATTCAACTTCATAATAGCATCTCTTTATATTTATGACTTATAGATAGCATTTATTTTTCAAACCTGAGTTCAATTCCTCCACCCCTCTCGGAGAGCCCGGCAAGCTACCGAGAGTATTCGATATGCCAGACACAGTAACAACAAAGTCTCCAATGGAGACGTTACTGGGCCCGCTCGAGCAAATCGACGATCAACGGGAGGGCCTTTACCTTTACCTTTACTTAGCTAAGATATGAAAATGTTCATAATCTTCAATGATTTGAAATACAATCTTCTGCTTTTCTTCATACAAAGAAGGACAAGTAATTGTTTTGACTGATGAAAAGCTTAGATTATAGTGCATAAAAACAGGGCTGGAAAGATAGTACAAGTGGATAAGGTGTGGGCATTGCAAACAGCCAACTTGGGTTCAATCCTCCATACCACATATGATCCTCTGTGCACGAACAGCGCCAGGAGTGATCCCTGATCAGAGCCAGGAGTAAGCCCCGAGCACCACCATGTGTGGCCCAAAAGTGATGGTGGGGTGGGGTGGGGTGTGGGGGGAAAGCATAAAGAAAAAACACTGATAGATTTGGGTATATAAAAATTTTAAGTTTTAATGTCTCAAAAATAATATAGCCCAACAGACATATAAAATGTTCATTATTACTTATTATCAGAGAAATACAAATAAAAATCATGAGAGTATCACCCTGTACCAGTGAAAATGGTTCTTAGACAAAAGGGAAATTAAAAATGTGGTAAGTGGAGAAAAAAAGAAATCCTCATTTACTGTTGGTGAGAATATAAACCAAGCCATTTGGAAAATAGTACGTATAGTTATCAAAAATTTAAAAGTAGATTTATCAATTACACTCCTAGGTAACTATATGAGGAAATTGAAAACACAAATTAAAACAATTATATGCACACCTATGTACAGTGTAGTTTTATTTGTAATAGTGTGACACTTATATACATTTAAATTATAAAATATGAATATTATGAAATATAAATATGAAATGGGCTGGAGTGATAGCACAGCAGTAAGGTGTTTGCCTTGCACGCAGCCAACCGGAGTTTGATTCCTCTGCCTTCTATTTGTCCACCCCTCTCAGAGAGCCCAGCAAGCTATCGAGAGTATCTTGCCTACACGGCAAAGCCAGGCAAGTTACTACCCGTAACATATTTGATACGCCAAACACAGTAATAAGTCTCACAATGTTACTGGGTGTGCTCGAGCAAATCAACGAACAACGGGAGGACAGTGACAGTGAAATATGAAATAAATTATAAAATATAAATATTATATAATTTAAATGTACATATTTGATATTTATGAAGAGATGTACTTCATTCATCTGCAGAGATGTAATCATGGGAAAATAATAGCTGTTGCCAACCCTTATTAAAGTTGGAATCACTTGGGTAACGACAGATGCCACAGCCCCACCCTAACTGATTAAATCATAATTGTTGGCTCTCCAGGGTCCCTGACATCTGACTATAGTCAAGGTTAAGAAGACAAATGAAAGGGCCCCTTAGTAAATCCCAGAGGCCTAAGAGGACAGATTGCAAATTATACTCCTAGATAACTATATGAACAATGTGAAAACACAAATTCAAACAATTATATGCACACCTATTTACATTGTACTTTTATTTACAACAGTCAAGACCTGGAAACAAACCCACTGCCCAGGGAATGGATGAGAGGATAAAGAACAAAAAGGCACATATACAAATGGAATACTATTCAGTTAGAAGAAAAGATTTGCTCAAGCGGGCCCAGTAACGTCTCCATTGGAGACTTTGTTGTTACTGTGTTTGGCATATCGAATACTCTCGGTAGCTTGCCGGGCTCTCCGAGAGGGGCGGAGGAATCGAACTCGGGTCGGCCATGTTGGCTGCATGCAAGGCAAACGCCCTACCGCTGTGCTATCGCTCCAGCCCCATGAACAACATGAACAAAACTGAAAATGGTTATAAGTCTGAAAGAAGTCAAATACTAGATGATCTCTCTTATGTGTAATATGAATAAACAAAGCAGCTTTCCATGGAATGAGAACAAACATTTTGGTCTCAAAACAATCTCTGACATGAAACAACAGAACTAAGATTATCAGAGAGAGAGGTGAGAAGATATAGGGTAGAATATGGCAGAGGGATATGGGCACATTTATGGTAAGTGAGATGTAGTAACATACACTAGAAGAATGTGAACTAAAGTATATAGTGTTGTTACTTCCTATCTCAATTTAAAAAATAATAATTTTTAGGGGCTGAAGGATAGTACAGTGTGGAAAGCGCTTGCCTTGACCTAGTTTGAGCCCTGGTACCCCTGTTAGTCCCCTAAGTCCAGTCATGAGTGATCCCAGAGGGCAGAGACAAGATTAAGCCCTGAACATAGTTTAGTATGACTCAAAACCTAATAAATAAATTTTAAAAATAAACTTTATAGTCAAAAATCAACTCCCTAAATTAACCAAAAGAACTATTCTCGAAATTTCACTAAAATAACTGAGGAACTGAGTTCAACTGCAAGAAAATGAATATCTAAAAATAATTTTAAATAATATAATACAAACAAGTTAAAAGTAAAAAAAAATTGGGAAAGCATTTTAAAATCTTTGACACAGTATTAAATGCTTGACTTGCAGAATTTTTGCAAATCTATGAGAAAAAGCAATGAAGAGGATAAAAGTTTAATAAAAAAGTAGCAATGTCTATAAATATATGAAAACGATAATACTTCACCTATATTTCTAGATTTTTATTAAAGTTGGCAAAGATTAAAATGTAAGATGTTTAGATATTCAATTATATTGAAAGTTCTTTTTAAATTTTTTTTATTTTGATTTTTAGGCTTTACCTGACAAGTAATGCTCCATTAGTTACTTCTGGCTCTGTGCTCAGGAATTATTTCTGGCAAGCTTGGGGATCTGTATGGGAGGGTGGGAATCAAACCCAGGTCAGTCACAAGGATAGTGCCCTAACTTTTCAGCCCCTGAAAGTTCTTTTTTTTTTTTAACGTTTAAAAAGTTTATTATTTTTTTTATTGAATCACTATGAGATACCAGTTACAAGTTGCTCATGATTGGGTTTCATCATACACTATTTTAACAGTTGTCCCTTCACCAGTTTACATTTCCCTCCAGCAATATCCCCAGTCTCTGAAATTTGTTTAAAAGTCTACTTTTCACACTGCTTTGAGAGTGAAAATTCAATATATATATATACATATATATATGGAAAATATTTAAATAAGTAACTTAAGCTTCTACATTTTTATTTTTTTATTTTTTTTATTTATTTATTTATTTTGCTTTTTGGGTCACACCCAGCAGTGCTCAGGGGTTTCTCCTGGCTCTGCACTCAGGAGTTACTCCTTGCGATGCTTGGGGGACCATATAGGATGCCGGGGATTGAATACGGGTCAGCCGCGTGCATGGCAAACACCCGACCCGCTGTACTATGGCTCCGGCCCCCGCTTCTACATTTTTAATAAGATCTGTTGTAGTAATTTTATTTCTAGGAATCTTTAAGAGAAAATTGAAAATACTAAATATTCAACAAGAAATTGGTGCCAGAGCAATTATGTAGTGAGTAGGGATTTGTTTGCCTTGCAAGCCCTAGATTAAATCCCCTACATTTCTTATGATCCCTTGAGCCCACCAGGAGTAATCCCTGAGCACAGAACCAGGAGTAAGCCCTGAGCACTGTCAGATGTAGTCATACTCCCCTCAAAAAAAAAAGAAAAGAAAAAAGAAATTGATTACAGGGGCCAGAGCGATAAGTACAGCAGGTAGGGTGTTTGCCTTGCTCACAGTTGACCCGGGTTCAATCCCCAACATTCCATATGGTCCCCCAAGCACTGCTAGGAATAATTTCTGAGTAATCCAGAAGCAATCCCTGAGCATCACTAGGTGTGACCCAAAAAGCAAAAAAAAAAAAAATGATTATTAGGCTGTGTCCACAAAAACAGTTTTAAAAAGTGTTACAGATTTTACAGACTGAACCAGAGTGAGAATCAAAGGGCTAGAGCACATACCTGATGTACTGACAGGCCCATATTTGATTTCCAACACCTCATGACCCCTTCAAGAACTGTTGAATGTAATCCTGGTTGTAGGATGACATTGGTTTATTCTTTCTCCCTTGCCACAAGGAGCTTAGGTTTATCAGGTTACACCCATCACAGTGCTCCCGAGTCACTCCCATTCCTTTGTTTATCTGTAACCACTTCTCTATGCTCTCTTCCTGAACCAGTTAATCAGCTTTTCCCCCTAATCAGACTCTGTTCATTTGTAAGGAACTTGTATTATAAGTAATATTGCCTTTCTCCTCTCCTTGTATCTTTTGAATAGTTTACTCTAAAGCAATGTCCTTTTTGTATAGACACAGGAAGACAGTTAACATTATGCTTTGTAACTTGGGATTTAATGATCTTCGAATATTATTCCTTCCCGGGCATCTGCTTTCTTGACTTAAGCCTCAGTTGCCCTTAGTTCCTAGCACCCCAAAAGCAGGGTTCCAACAAGGGACTGAATGGACCCAGGGCAAGCTGTGAGCTACTCTGGCATTGAAATGGGCCACGATTCTTAACTATAAGTTAAGAGTTTGATCCTGGACAAATACTTTCATGATCCAAAAGTAATGATGAGACTAGGACCCTACTAGAAATAGGAAAGACTAATCTGGCCTGAGCACTGTAGTTGAGATGATCCCAGGAGAGCAATTCTATAAGCTTAATGTATCTCTTACTGTGTCCATGTAAAATGATTAACATTATGAATGATTATATGTTAGTTGGACAAGGAGAGGAGAAACACACCCATGGGATTCGGCTCTAGGGTGGATTGCCCTGCTGAGAGAGTATCTGTCCTAGAAGCATCCCCTGAGGGAAAGAACTTTACCCCTATTGATTGTGTCCACACCTATGTGTAAGCCCCAACCCCTCAGGTTTTGGCATTTAACTAAGTGGTAAGAGGGGGCTGGGTGATCTGGATCCAGATCCAGAGCCAGCAGGAGGAGAATGAAGGGAGATAGAGGAGAATGAAGTAGCATGGGGGAGGGAGAAGCAGAGAGACAGGAGTGAGAGAGACAGGAGTGAATGGAGATGAGATTGGAATAAACTGCAACTGAGACCAACCAGCCTGACCTTCATTTTCCTTCCTTTGCCTGCCCATCACCATTGACTTCCCTGGGGTGAGGGAAGCAGCCCAAAATTACCGAACGTGGGCAGCGGGGAGAGACAGAACACTGCTGCTACAGCCTTTTTGTGTTTACAGAAGTGGTAGACCTCCAGAACCACTAGATCGTACTAGTGTTGCATGACTAGAACTCACACATTACTGTAACATGAGAAAATTACATGAAAAACAGGTCATTATTAGTAACCATTAGCTCAGATAGTGATGTTATCATCCATGACAGCACTACAGCTTCAAAAGTGCTCTCAAAAAATGATAAGCACCATAAAGCCATTTAGTTGCCTGTAAAACAAATAAGCAAGGTACTCCAAATGAAAGCTGTCAAAATGGAGGTGAGGAAATTGTCAAAAATAATATATGTGTGTGTGTGTGTGTGTGTGTGTGTATGAAAGGTAATATAACACTCTAGCAACATGAAACAACAAACTAAATTTCACTTTTTTTTCTTTTTGGGTCACACCTGGCCATTCTCAGGGGTTACTCCTGGCTCTGCACTCAGGAATACTCCTGGTGGTGCTCAGGACACCATATGGGATGCCAGGGATCAAACACAGGTTGGCCACGTCCAAGACAAGTGCCCTACCCGCTGTAATACCCACTCCAGCCCCTCAAATTACTTTTTAAGTCTTCACTTTGGTTATAAAACTCCATTCATAGCAGTAAGTCCAAGTTATTTTCAAAAGAAATTTTCTATTTTCCAAATATTACAGAGAACAAAGAATAACAAAATTATCAGATATTATATTTGAACAATGCTCTCATATGTGAAATGGATAGATTTTTTCAACTACCTCAAACTTCGATACTCCCCACACATAAAAGCTTCTCTCACCCAGAAAATCTCAGGCATGGTCCAGCAGGAAGAAGACACGGAAACAGCAAGTTCCTAGTCCCTAGAGACCTCCCACTAGCTCCCTGAGCTGGCTGGTTTCACATATTCTCACCCTACAGTGAGTACCCCTGAAATCTTGCCTTGCATCCCCAACACAGGCTCTTCACATTTAATGGCAGTTGGCCACAAGAAAAGCAGCAGCCTGCAGAACATTTGGACTTCATGCAGAATTTATGTGACAATACGCTCCATAAAACAATGGGGACATGGATTTCCTGGCTTTCAATTTGAGAAAAAGAGTGATATGCACCAAACTATAGAGACCCATTTGTGTTAGGTCTTTCAAAGAATAGATCCCAAGAGCAAAATTCACTTGTAATCAAAATAACACAAGAGTAAACTCACTGCTCAGAATGTTTAACAAAACAAAAAATCTGATTTTTAAGAAATGGTTCTATGTCTAGCTTTCTAGAGAGACACACTGGAGAACTGAGACTGCATGATTTATTTGCATGGACTTTTGAGGGGTCTTTTGGAGGGGGGCTTTCCTAAGCATGCTCATCAGGGTCTGGTGTCATTCCAAACAATTCTCAACCAATCTAGCCATAAGGCTGAATATTAGTGTTTCAGGCACACTGGTAATATAAAATGTGGAAAACATTGTCTGAGACCTAAACCAGCCGAGAGCCATGAAGGCCTTTGAGAGACAGAACCTGTCTGAAGGACTCAGTCAGAAAACCTTTAAAAACCTACAGAATTCCAGATCCAGAGCTTGGCTGGAGGCGCTGAGAAGAAAGATCCATCTCTGGAACAAAGGCCAAGCTAAGAATATCAAAGAAGACCATCAACAGCTTCAAACTCTCCTCCTTAGCAACCACCTCTGGAAGAGACATAGAGTGCAGTTTAAGTTAATCATATATTATAATCTGACCAGAAAAGGAGCATGTTTGACAGTATTTCTGCCTGAGACATGTATTTCCTTTCTTACCTTACGGCTGGAGCAATAGCACAGCAGGTAGGGCATTTGCCTTGCACACGGCCAATCCGGGCTCCATTCCTCCATCCCTCTCAGAGAGCCTGGCAAGCTACCGAGAGTATCCTGCCCGCAAGGCAGAGCCTGGCAAGCTCCCCGTGGCATATTTGATCTGCCAAAAACAGTAACAAGTCTCACAATGGAGATGTTACTGGTGCCTGCTTGAGCAAACCGATGAGCAATGGGAGGACAGTGCTACAGTGCTATCTTATGGCACTTTTGCCCGCATATCCCCCTAAGATATGCGCTTCTTTAGCTCAGCACAGAAGAGAGAGAGAGAGAAATGCATAATCAGGGAGAACATGGGCTTCTGCAGAGTGGAAAAGGCAAAGTTTAAATCCAAGTAGACCTGCAGTGAGTTTTCAATATGGAGAACACAAACCATAAAGTCCACACCACAGGCTGGGAGGGATGTGGGCTACTTCATCTTACTTCACTATTCATTTTCTTCTGAAATTCTTTTCTGTTAGGGAAGGCAAAGAACCCAGAAATCCTGGGTAAGATTTAGGACTGAATTTCCTTTGCTGCACAAAACAGTTCCATGCTCCAGTCTATTTGTTCCATGGCTCTATAAGAAATTGGGTGTCAAGGATCATTTCTCATGCCAGGCAGTTTGAGAGCCACCTCTGGGATCTGATGAGACATAAGGTGCTCAGGGGCTGACCTTCATCAGTCCTAAATTTTCCAGCCACCTCCTGGGGTGACCAAGGTGGGCAGAATGGAAAGTTGTAGACTTCCCTCCTGAAGCTGTTTCCTCTCTTCTCACTTGACATAAGGGAACCCTACTTCTTCAGATGGTGTAAGG